ACTAGAAGTACCCCTATTTAAGGGTTAGCAGGAGCAAGACTAGTCCGTTTATGTTACGACCACTTTTCTGAAGTTTTCTCAATTTTGAAACTGTCAAAATTGATGTTTAGTTTTATAATTGGATTTACTAAAATATTAGTGTCCAAGAAGCTTGTGTTGAATATCAATACATTTGTAAAATACAAAGCATGTTCCTTATCCCAAAAGGAACCAGAGTTGCATTTCTTCGGTGCAGAGTGGCCTGGCTCAAGAGTATTCCTTGTGACATGTTTGGGGTGTGTCTTTACTTAATAGCAAAATGCACACATCCCATAAAACAAACACTTTAAGAGCCAAACGACTGTTTCTTCCAACACCTTTCAAACCCCAGTGAGGAAGAGTGAACTGTGACCTTCAAGGAATTATCAGCTTCTCAAGGGACCTTTTCAAAATTTTATTTTGTGAAAATAAGTCCTCATGGTAATAGAGAACTATAAACTCTGCTTTACAGAAAAATTTTCATTAAGAATAGAACTTTTGCAGGGCAGGAGACCCATCATGCTCTCTGAAGACCACAGAATTCTTTTCCTTCCCCAGAAACCAGGTAAGGGACCATTACCTCTAGCACACCTATGGTGAGGCACAAAGAGGCTTTCTGATCCACTCCAATGGAGTCAGCAGCTCTGTTTAATTATTTAAGAAGAGACAATTAAATCACTTCAGAACCCTAGAATGGCAGCAAATAGAATCCAGGAGATATCCTGCTAGTTTGTTCAAAGACTTATCAAAAGTTACTTTTTATCAGTCCCAGTTGATGACTTGGTGACAACAAAAAACAGTTTAGATTTTTCTGAATATGCACATGTATATACGTACACGTGACTAAGAAGCTGGAGTGAAACCCTCAATGACCAGACATTTTATAGCAGGACCCAGAAAACAGGCAAACTCTTCCTTCCAACATGGTGAATGCTCTGTTTTCACTCCCACATCTAGAAATCCATGTGTTTTTTTTTAAGATTTTATTTATTTGACAGAGCATAAGAGCGCGCACACGCATGCGCAAGAGGAGGGGGAGGGGCAGAGGGAGAAGAAGCTGACTCCCCGCGGAGCTGGGAGCCCAATGCAGGACTCGATCCCAGGACCCTGGGATCATGACCTGAGCCAAAGGCAGATGTTTAACCATCTGAGCCACCCAGGTGGCCTAGAAATCCATGTTCTGAGATAAACAGGGCTACTACAAAAGAATGACCAGACCTCCAGAACACCACCCAGAAGACCATTTGGAGGTTAAACACCTTATAGCAAAATTGACATTTTAATGTGGAAAGGAAGGGGCACTAACTCTCATCCTATAAAGGAGATCTTCTCAGTGACATTCATTATTATCAATGGCCTGTCAATGTAGGTCAGGTTTCTGTAGAGAGCACTAGCTTCCATTTTGGGGAAACAGTTCACACAGTTCTCAATCTCCCTGCCTAGCAAATTCTGCAGAGAGGAAAGAGAGCAGAGAACTGTAGAAGTGCCCCTACAGGAACACCCCTTTCCTTATGTATGCCATTCGGCTTTTGTAAACACTAGCTCGGTCTCGGTCTCACGATTACTCTGAAAGGTAAGCAGGACAGGCATTATCTCCATCTCACAGTTGAGAGAAACAGTGCCTGGGAGGCTACATGACTCACGTGCCCAAGGTCACAAGTCAGGCAGTGATTTGGTAGCCCAAGCAGCAGATGAGCCTAGCCCTCTGGCTCACCAGCCAGCATGATTTCCAGGACACCAGCCAGCTTCCTTGTGTTTCAGGATGAGAGGCAGTGCAGTGTAATGCTTAGGGGCCGGGTTTTGACCCCCGCAGACCTACATTCCAATCCCAGCTCTGCTACCTCTTTGCTATCTGACCTTGTGTCGGCTCCTTACCTCGCCCTACATCTCCGCTTCCTCATCTCTAAAATGGGGATGAAACCATCTACTTCACAGAGGTATAGTGACAGTTAAATGAGAGGATGGACATGGGGCACTCAGATTCATTCCCTCGACAAATATCTGTGCCAGGCACACACAGTGCAAGGGATACAATAGTAAGCAAGAGGCACAGTCCTACCCTCGTGGACCTTAAAATTCAGTCAAACTAAATAGTGAAGGCGAACAGATAAATAAGATACTGATCAAGTGTGTGAAGTGCTGTTAGGGTAACAGGTGAGCGGCTGGAAAGATTAACAGGAGAGAGGCAAATTTTAAGAGTGGTCTCTACGGAGAAATTTAAGTTTGAATCATGAGGGATCAGAAAGAGCTATCCATATGCAGAATGGAAGGGAAAACATTCCAATTATAGGGACCAGGGCATGCAAGGGCCACAACCTGGGGAAGTGTAGGAACTGCGAGAAGACAAATGTGACGGCTATGTATCCTCATGGGATTTGGGGAACAACCTTTCCAGGCCGGCTGCCAAAGACTACCACATCTATTTTAAAAATAACAAAGACGAGGCTCAAGAGAGGTGATGTGTCTTCCCCAAGGTCACAGCTACTCTGAGAAGGGTCTGAGACCCCAGGATTCTACCTCCAGACACAACATCAGCTCCCTCCCTCTGAGGAAGCTTCCTGCACACTGAACTCCCCGGCTTCCTTCACTGACAACTGTCATCGGTGCCCATGAAGAGTTCCAAAAGCACCTTAAAAACACAAGCAGCAGCATCACATCAACTTCTAGGCATCTAGTCAATTGTGCACCGAAGCCCTTATCCTTTACTCTTACGACACAGGAGCAAAAACTGCTTGGACCTTACTCAAAGGCTCCAAAATAGAAACAAGTTTCTCTTCTTACAGCAGTGAACAAGAGAGGAAAGGGATGTCCTGGAAGGAAGATTCTGTGGCCTGTTCCGGAAAGTGAGACAGAACCACCAGTGCAGAAGAGTGGAAATACGAAGGTTCATCTTAAATGAACTGCAAAGGAAAAACTAATTACTTTATTTGAATAAAAGAATGAATCCCTAGAGCAGTGGCTGTCAGTTGGGATGGTGTCCCACTCCTGTACAAGAGCATTTGGAAATTCTGTGGAGGCATGTAGTGGGCAGGGCCAGGTACGCTTAGAAGTCTTAGAAAAGGGCAGGATGGTCCTATAAAGAATGTATTACCCAGGGGGCCTGGCTGGCTCGGTCCAGTACAGCATGAGACTCTTGATCTTGGGATCGTGAGTTGAAGCCCATGTTGGGTATAAAGATTACTTTAAAAAAATATATACATATATATAATTTGGAAAAAGAATGTATTACCCAAAATATTAGGAGCAGCTTCACACACACTTTCATATTAATCCCAGAGGGATTACTATGCCCCCACTTTTCATGTATTCTCATGGTTCCATGGCTCTTCCTACCCTCACCACAGCTGGATGAAAAAAAATTAAACTGAAGTTTCACAGCTGAGGAGTCTAAAATTTTGGAATCCAACTGTAAGTTCATAACTCCAACATGGAACCTGGTACCAGGTGGAATAAGGAAAAAGAAGTTTCTAGTAAGAGACATAAATTTTAGCAAAACAGGAACTCCTTCCCCGGACAAGTGTCCATAAGATTATATGTGTTTTGCAACACACAAAATTCTGTGATTTTAGAAGAAGCTTCTTATACTGCTTTTCAGTTTAAAATCAGATACTAATGACAGTTCTTTTAAAAAGTTAATCACAGTCATCTCACAAATACAGCTTACTCTTTCTGGACCAAATTTTATAAGCAAAATTATTAATTTCAGGATGTCTAAAAATGATCAAATGTCTAAAAGTGCCCAAAGCAGTCACACCTTGCATCTTATTCAGGGCAGAGACTGATGCAGTTCAAGGAAGCTCCGATGATATCTAGAGGTCTGTTCAGGAATTAAAATACCATTTCAGCAATTCAAAAGCCACTTTCAAGTGTTACCCTAAATTAGTCACTATTTCCCTCTCAAAAAAATATTTCACAAATTAAATTTATAGAATTGAAACAAAAGCCAGACTATTTCCAGAAATTAAAAAAAAGATTCAAAAAGTCTACCCTATTTCACAATAGCTAGAACCGTGATCCAATAGATACACCCTCCATAAGGCAATCTTTCTTTCTACACAATATCTAGATTTTCTTAACTCTCCCAAAGCAGTCTGAATACATTAACTTCTTCACTCCGACCTGCCAATTAGCAAATAGCGGCCCCACACCCCTTCTGACCAATTTTCTAGAAGCCTAACCTGGCTTCTCAAATTAGCTGAGCAGACAGACCTGTTTTCCTCCAGAAGCTCCTGCCAGTGTGCCTTTTCTGCCCTGCCAGTCAGGGCCTGGGAAATCCTTTTTGCTGGCCTGTCACCAGAAGTTCACAAAATGAATTCATCCAGATTTTTTGAATCTTCCTCTTCCCAGGTAATGCACCAACAACAGCCAGGCAATAAAGTCCCACCTCTCATTACAAAAAGAGAGAGATTACCAGGCAGACCTAGCACTTAGCATGGAGGGGAAGAAAAAAGATGGAGGGATGTGACAGTCATGCAGCCAAGCCTACTGAATGCAGCACCCGCCACCAGAGCCCTGGTCCTGCAAAGCCTCAGACAGGGAGGCTCCCTGCTAGGCCCTCCATTGGGCAGGCCATACCTGTCTATGGCAGCAGCAGGCTTCCGGCTGCTCCATTTTAAACAATTCAAACACAGCTCCAGCAGGGTGGCAAAATTGGGCATCCCTTTCTCCCAGCAAGAGTGAGAGCCCTAATCCAAACAACACTTGCCCCCAATTTTCTTTCTTTTCACACTCTTTGGGAGACACCGCTTGGTCAAAGTGGATCCCTTTCTCTCTGTTAACGGTGAGGTAGGCACAATGCTGCAGTGGCAGAAAGGAAGCATCGAGGCCGACTTGCTATAAGCCAGACAAGACCTCCTCTCTGAGGACGGTGATGCCGATAAATGGGACTTCAATGGGCAGGTTTCACTCTGCTCATCCACAAGTGAACCGACGCCTGAAGTCCTAAAACGCCCGGCTCCGCAGCCTCGCAGGAAGCCTCTTTTCTAAAGGGGAGATAGCCCATTCATCCCCAGGAACCAAAGGGAAGGCAGACAGATCCAGGTCGCGCACTCCACATCCAAATCTTCGCAAGCGCGCGAAGGTTTGGGGCGCCCCGGCGCGCCCTCCCTTGCACTCCACCCTCCGAGGCCTCCACCGCCCGCGGACTCACCACTGTGCGAGCTGAACCACCTGGGTGCGATGTGCAGAGGTAGAGCATCCGCCAGCGAGGCTCGGGAGCCCAGGTACAGCATCCCGTCTCTATGGTGACCGCCGCCGGTCTCCTGGTAACCATTGCCATGGGCATAGGTGGAGTCGGACGCAGACCCTCCGCCGCCTGGCGCCCTCTCCGAGTCGCCGGTCCCCCGGGAGGCGGGGGTGTAGAGGCCAAAGGGCACCCCCCCGGCCGTGCTGGGGTCCATGCCCATGCCCGCCACCGAGCTGACCGAGCGGCTACGAAGCCCCATGGCCCCGCCGCCCGCCCGGTAGTGCCCAAAGTGGGGGGCCCCTCCCGGCGGGGGCACGGCGCTGTCATCGGTGGAGACCCCCGGAAAGGGGCCCCGGGAGCGGGCCGCCGTGCTCTGCTTGCCCCCCATGCTCGCCCGGGCCCCGGTGGGGCGGGAACCTGGAGGCCGAGACCCTCCCCCACTTCTCAGCAGCGGGGGGAGGGTTGGGCGAGCATAAATGGGGAGGGAGTCAAAAAGGAGACCCGGAGGGAAAAAAAGGGAAAAAAAAGAAAAAAGAAAAGAAAACCCGTGGGGCGGAAGAGCCAGGCGGGCGGGGATCCCAAACTAAGAATTTAAAACGATCCAAGCCAAACGCATGTTTCCCCTCAAGGTCCAAAGAGGCGCAGTCCGGCGCGGGCTCGGCGCGCCACAGGCCGCCCCCGGGCTCCCGAAAGCCGGGGGAGCCGCAGGGAAGGAGGGAGGGAGGCGGCGGGCGGGCGCAGGGAGGCGCCGGAGGAGGCCGCCCGCCGGACAGGAGGAGGCGGAGGGCTGGGGGCACCGGGCGCGTCCCCCGCCTCAGGACGCCGCAACCATGGACGCCGGCCCGGACCCCTCCAGGCCTCGGGCGGGCTGCGGCGCTGGGCGGCCAGGCGGAGCTCGGGAAGCCGCGGTCGCGTCGCGCTCTCGCTCCAGCAGCCGCCGGCCCCGCCAGCCGCTCCGCCCCGCTCGGTCCCGGGCTGCGCTCGCCGGCGCTCCTCGCCGCCGTGGAGACAATGGAGGGCGGCAGAGCGCAGGCGCGGCCCGCGCCCCCTCCCCTCCCCCCCGCCGGGTTAACCCCTTCGCGGCCCCTGCGGCGCCGGGCCGCTGACGCCCGGGAGGTCCCCACCCACCCACCCAGCGCGACCGGCCTGTGACCTGAGTGGCCCGAGCCACGGGGCGTCAGGAACAGAAGCCAGGCGTCTTTTCAAAGCAAGCACTCTTTTTAAAGGCCCCGAAAATGGCTAATTATTGAGGGGGAACCCCCTATGGGAGGAGGGGCGGCGACGGTTCAAGGGGCTGGGAAGGAAACGCAAAGAAGAATGAAAATTACTCGAGACGCCTACCTGGCTCTAAGGGTCACTGGTCAAGCCTCCCTCCCTGCGCAAATTTGCCCCCACAGCACCCTCTGGTGGACGTGCTGTCGTCCATTCTTGCGGAGGTTTCCCGACCAGGAGCCCCTAAGATCAGGAAGCCTAGCATTGCGGGGATTTTTAACTGTTTGGGGGTACACAGGGCACTGGGGCACTTGTGACTCGGGATTTTGCCAAGAGTAGATCGGAACTTCCTATTTGAGGCTTAAGCCGTGGGTGGGTTCCTTAGCTAAAATGCGATCCTGAAAATCATTAGGTGTAGGATAGAAAGTGAGAAGACAAAGACACAGCCAGAACTGGTGATTTTAGAAACTCCCTAGTCCAAGGTGAGTCCCTGGTTTTGTTTACCTTTTATTCCAACATGCACCATAGTGGGACACAGTGGGTACTCAGTATTTGTCCGCCGAGTCTGCATTTTGCAATATGTCTCTCTCACATATTCACATCCATCCATCCATTCATTCATTCAACAACGATTTTTCAAGTGCTGGGTGCTGGCTATGAGCATCACCCAGTCCCTGCTCTGACTTCCTTGCTCTAAATGTCCCCATATACTTCCACATCAAGGAGTCAAAACAGGGTGTAGAGAGATATTAAGTGAACCACCCCCCAAAAAGAAGAGCTGATCTGTTACAGGTATTGACTGTCCCAGTGTGGGCAGCTTGGAAAGAAACAGGAGGAAGGCTATTTATTTGCAAGCATGGAGTGCTGAGGGGAGGGCAGAAAGCCCTGCAGAAGGAAGTAGAGAATTCTCCTTGAGAAATGAACATAGGGAAAAACAAAATGTTCCAATACCCAAGAAATTATCTGTAAGTGCCTAAATAAGGAATGTGTGCACACCTAAGATCCAAATAAGTGGTCTGAAGGAAAATAAGAAAGCTTAAATTTAACCCACTTTTCTCCCTGAAGAAAGAGTATGGTAATAGAAGAGGGGTGGTATGGTGCTGCGCAGGAAAAAGGATACTAGATCCCTTGACAGATCTGTACTGGGGAGACAATACACAATCAGTAAGGATTATTGTAACCATCTAAGTAGCTTTTGATTTACCTATCCATTCAACACTTTTTTAGCACATCGAACAAAATATGAATGTCTAGTAAGTGCCAGGCACTGCACTGGGTTCTGGGATTCAGTGGTGAGCAAGACAGATGGAGTCTGGGTTCTCACAAAGCTTCAGAAGAACCACTTCATACCCACTAGGATGGCTATAATCAGAGGGGACAAATGCGAGTGTTGGTGATATGTGCAGACATTGGAACCCTCATACCTTGCTGGTGGGAATGGCAAATGGCACAGCTGCTTTGGAAAACAGTCTGGTGATTCCTCAGAAAGATTAAACAAAGAGTTATTGTATGACCCAGCAATTCCACTCCTAGGTCTATTTCCAAAAGACATGAAAACATATATGCACAGAAAAACGTATATGTGAATGTTCATAGTGGCATTATTCGTAATAGCTAAAAAGTGGAAGCAACCCAACTGTCTATTGTCCGATGAATGGATAAAGCAAATGTGGTGTATCTATACAGTGGACTATTATTCAGCCACAAAAATGAATAAAGTGCTGATGTGTGTTACAGCATGGATGAACCTTGAAAACATCACACTAAGTAGAAGAAACTAATCACAAAAGACCATATACTGTCTGATTCCACTTATATGAAATTTCCAGAATAGTCAAATCCACCAAGACAGAAAGGGTAATGTTTGTTGGAGCCAACGGAGAGGCGAGAATGGAAAATGCCTGCTAACGGGTTAGTTTCCTTTTAGAATGATGAAAATGTTCTGTATTAAATAATGGTGATGTTTGGGGCACCTGGGTGGTTCAGTGAGTTAAACGTCTGACTCTTGATCTCAGCTCAGGTCTTGATCTCAGGGTTGTGAGTTCAAGCCCCAAGTTGGGCTCCATGCTGGGGGTGGAGCCTACTTAAAAAAAAAAAAGGAGGGGCGCCTGGGTGGCTCAGCCGGTTGAGCAGTTGAGCATCTGAGCGTCTGCCTTTGGGCTGGGGTCTTGGTCCCAGGGTCTTGGGATTGAGCCCCACATTGCCTGGCTCCACGCTCAGTGGGGAGTCTGCCTCTCCCTCTGTCCCTCCTCACACTCGTGCTCTCTCTCTCTCTCTCTCAAATAAATAAAATCTTTTTTTAAAAAAAGAAGAATGGTGATGTTTGCACAACCTTGTGACTACACTAAATACTGCTGGATTACACACTTAAAAGGGTGAATTTGATGGTATGTGAATGACAGTGCAGTGCCATACAGAGTGCTGAAGTAAACAGTGACAATACCCTGCGACAGATAGGCCTAGAACTGTGCCTGGCGTGTAGTTAGCCCTCCATATGAATAAATGAGTGAATGATGAAGTGCCATGAGAGGGAAAGGTTATGGTGCTGATGGAAGGAGACAGGCACCAACAGTGATCCAAAGCCAAGGCCTAAAAGATGAGCTGGTGACGAGGCTGGGAATGGGGTTGCAGGGGGAGAAATGTGCTTCAGGAAGACAAGCATGTTCCAAGCATGTTCCTAGCACGTTTGAAGGCCTAGAGAACATGGCATCTTCAGGGAACTGAAAGCTGCAGTGAAGCTGATAGGATGTGGGAACTGAAGATGAAGCCAGTCCTCAGGGGCAAACCTGAGGGTCCTAGGAGCCACAGTAGGGAGCACGGACCATATCCCGATGGGATACAGAGCTCTGGGAAGATTTATCAACATCATTATCAGTACAAATAAGAATGTCCAGTGACTAATGAGCACTGAAGATGTCAAGACTTGAAAAATTAAGAAACTTGCTCCCTCCCCAAATAAAGACCTATATTTTTCTCAGCTTCTAGATTCATAAGGATACTGGATAGAAACATGAAACAATATGATGTAGTTCCCCTAAGGGGTGGGCAGTGGGAACTGAGCGGTGGAGAGACAGGATGCAGACAAAGATTTTGTTTCATTATGTACTTTTTTGTATTTTAGTGTTGAAGCCATGTAAATTGAGAGAGACAGAGAGATAGTCTACACACGGGCATTAAAGTCACCTGGCCAGTAGGGGCGGAGCCGGACTTCTAAGCTTTCCAGTGAACATGCTCATCAAGGAATCTTTGGATGACAAATTCATTTTCTCTGAATGCTCGTCAATGGGGTGAAAAAGAGTAGATCCGCTTAACAGCTCTATTTCTTTTCGTACCTTAAGAATTTGCCTTTAAGGTTTATATTCCCATCTACTGATATTGAGAGGCCAGCCTCTTTCACACCTGGCACCACGGAACACCTGAGAACCTGAACTGTGGGTGAAGCCTTGACTCTCCGCAGTGTGATGACGGTAGGTTTAGGTGCCCTGTGGGACTCTGAGGGGCAGCCTTTCTCAGGCAGTGCCATTGTTATCTCCTTGTACACTTATTAAAGAACAAATTTCCTTTGAAATTACAATATTAAAATACAGAGCAGGGAAAGTTCTTCATTCAGTAGCTTGACTCTACCCTTTACATCTTAGGGAGAGTGACTCATGGCATAGCAACAGGCATCCACAGAGACCTGCAGCCTCCGATTAGTTTCATTTTGTCATTTGTTGCATTGAGAGTCCAGTGTGGGCTTTGCTGCAAGTTTCTCCTGTGGATTCCTGGTTCAAAGTTAATGGGTCAGGGGAGGTGTTTTGGATGCTCTCGATGCAAGACGGTCAGAGGCAGAAAGGGCCCCCGATAGATTTAGGACTCTGTTTTACTATTTTTTATCTTTCTGCTCTCACTGACCCTGGGTAGAGTTGCTTCCTGGCTGTTCTTCAGCTGTGAAACAGGGTTAATAAACCACTGACCCACCTACCAGGACTGACAGGAGAAAGGACTGATAAATTTGGTGTTGCCAAAGCATACAAATGCCAGTGCATAACAATGCTGCACAGCCCCAGTTTCCAACATCTCTGGGAGAATGTAGAGTCTGGGAGGTTCCTGAAAGGTTCGGAAAATGAGGGAAACAGCTAGCTGGGGCCTGCTTCTGAGAAGCCTTGGGAAACCTGTGGCCTCCTTCCTCTCTGTCTCCCCAAGCCACGGCTTTGGAGGGAGCCCCAGCACTGCCTCTGGGTGTGGATAAGTGTCTCCCAGTAAGAAAATTCCCCCCAGATTTCTCAGAGCACTTTACATTTGTGTTATTTTGCTTGAAAAGAGAAAACTTAGAGAAACCAGGGCAATGAGCAACCGAATGCACAAAGCGAGGAGCACGAGCATGTGTGCACGTCCACAAATATTTGTTGATTGATGGAGAGGAAAATTACTAGTGCGGCTCAGGGCAGGATTCCAAGATTCCCAGATGTAAAGAGACTGAGGGGTCGGCTAACTCCACATTCTGCAGAAGAGGAAGCGAAGGCCTAGAAAGATAAAGGATCTGAGTTTAAACTTGCAAGGGTAGCTGCTGATAACAGCCAGCCAAAGCCCTGGATTTCTGGGTTGACCATGCACGTCCCCTGCCTTCCTGTGGTGTGGCTGGCAAGTGACCTTCTGGAAAGAGCTTGCTTTGGTGATCAGAGCCCTGTAGTCTGGTCAGCAAGTTGAGATCTACTTGACAGGGGACCCCCAACAGTCCCCAGTCTCTGATTGAGACAGGACATGCATCTGTGGGTCTTGGAGGCACACAGCAATTGAGAAGGAGCCAGAGAGCTCTAGATTTAGCTCCAGAGTCCCCACTCTTTTGTGATGACAGTGTGGGTGGGAGATAGAAAAGGAAGGGACCCCGGGGGCAGTATGAAAGGTGCTCATGCTCCTTCTCTCAAAAATTCTACTGGGGCCCTTTTCACATCTAAGAGGGAAAACATTGAAAGAACAGAGAGCACCAAGGACTTGAAACCCAAAGTACTTTCTGTGCCTACGAACCATGACAAGCAGATTTTGAGAACTAGACAAATACGAAGTAAAGAGGTGGGAGTGGGGGGAGGGTTGCAGAAATGCTCAGGCGAGGGCAATCCTACCAGTTCCAGTGGGAAACAGATTACCAAGCTATATATAGACGGAGAGCTTTGAAATACCTGTTTCTCTATCTCTATCTCCAAAATAAAACTCAAATGCCTAAGCAGGGGCCTTCCTCACTAGCCCTTTCCAGCTTTTTTAGCGTACTTCTTGCTACATCCTGTCATATACCCTAAGTTATAGTCATACCTGATTATTTGCTGGTCACTTAGCAGATATTTATTGAGCACCTACTGCATCCAAGGCTGTAGGCAAATAAACAAATAAGAATATGGCATGTTAGACGAATGGATTCATTTATTCCCATGTGACAGCGTGAATGTGCATAGAAAATATTCTTTATCTTTCCTTCTTTCTGGTCTTGAACCTGGCTTGCAGTTTTTCCCCTTCCTGGCCCAGTGAGCTTGAGGCCCTTCTTTCCAGAGCAGGCTTTGGCCTTTTGTGATAGAGAACTGGGAGGAAACTGGGAGGTAAGAAGAAAGGCCACTACAGGAGGGTGAAGGCCAGGGCTGGAGGAGTTTTTAAAGGGCTGCAGTGTGTGAGAATAGCTAATAGGTGAAGGGTTTTGAGGATAACATGTTGTGGTTCTGTATCCCCTTGTGAGTTTAAAGAGTTACAAGTGAAGACCTTGAATGGTTTTAGAAATTACTTTTGGTTTCACAGAAGGCATCCTTTTTCCCTGGACAGTACTCTGAGGACCTGACTCTATATGCTTTTCGCATTCATTAATTGGACAAATGGGGAGTGCCTTGATGTGTAGTCACCATGCAAGGCTGAACAAAACAGATCTGGTCCCTCTCCTCCCAAAGCTTGAAACTATTTAAACAAACAGATATTGAATTACAAATTGTGATGTGTATTCCAAAGGAAAAGGAAGCAGCACAGGTCTGTGACTGTTTTTTGGAGAACTGCTTTATCTTTGGAACTCATCCCCCCTCTTCACCCTTAAGGGTCTTTGTTCACTTTCAGTGCTGAAATGCTTTTTCTGATAGCGTATTCTATGAAAATGCTAATGTTATACTGAAAATCTTAAATGTCACCTTGTTCAGGATGCCACATCGGGTTTCTTATTTAGGCTGTCCTTTCCCCGCACATTGCTTGCCAGTCTTTTATAAAACCCAATTCATTCTCCCAAGTGTAAACTTGTACTGTGACCAATTGTTCCACTTTGTCTGGACGGAAGGGTTTCCTGGGCAAGTTGGTCACCCTAATTTGTTGATATGCCTTTTTTCCCCATTCCATGCAAGACTCCGGGAGGGAAGGTAATCTTTCTCATCTCTATTCACTCAAGGACCTGTACATAGATATAGTGGTAATATTAACAAGAGCAAGAGTATTGACTACATTCATGGCCCTGTGCTTAACTCCTTACAAGAAACAAATGAACAAAGTAGGTCATTTCTCCTTTTCATAAAGAAATTGAAGCTAAGCTAGGTAAGCTAAGATTTGAAAGGGTGGGACAGAAGAGAACTCACCGGGCGCCTGGGTGGCTCAGTTGGTTAAGCGACTGCCTTCGGCTCAGGTCATGATCCTGGAGTCCCAGGATCGAGTCCCACATCGGGTTCCCTGCTCAGCAGTGAGTCTGCTTCTCCCTCCGACCCTCTTCCCTCTCATGCTATCTCTCATTCTCTCTCTCACAAATAAATAAATAAATAAAATCTCTAAAAAAAAAAGAGAGACCACTCACCACATTGTTAGCACAGTGGTTCTCAAACTACTTGATCTCAGGATCTCTTTATGCTCTTAAATATTGTTAAGGACCCTCCCCACCAAACTTTTATGTGGGCTGTATCTCCTGATAGTAAGTAACTATTAGGGATTATTATTTATTATTATTTTTTATTTATTATCTTTTAAATATTTTATTTATTTGACAGAGAGAGAGAGAGCACAAACAGGGGGAGCAGGAGAGGGAGAAGCAGGCTCCCCACTGAGCAGGCAGTCCCATTCGGGGCTCCATCCCAGGACCCTGGGATCATGACCTGAGCCTAAGGCAGACACTTAACTGAGTGAGCCACCTAGGCGCCCCTATTTTTTTTTTTAAGTAGGCTCCATGCCCAGTATGGAGCCCAACTCGAGGCTTGAACTAAGGACCCTGAGATCAAGACCTGAGCTGAGATCAAGAGTTCCATGCCTAACCCACTGAGCCTCCCATGCACCACATAACTAGTAGAAATTAAAACTGAAAATTTAAAAAATATTTTTTCATGATTTCACTTGAATATTAATGCACATTAATATTAATAATACATTTTGTAAGTAAAAAATACCTATGTTTCCTAAAATGAAAAAACTGTAGTGGGAAGAGTGGCAAATCTCTTCAATGTCTGGCTTCATAGAAAACCGCTGGATTCTCACATCTGCTTCCGACGTTCAGCTTGTTACTACATACTACATACTACTACATACTTGTTACTATATACTACATACATGTTACTACATAGCCTCCCTTCGCCAAACCCGCACTCGCGAGCTCTCCGCGAGTTACCCACCGGCTGCTCACCCTCGGACTACGACTCCCGGTAGAGCTTGCGGCACGGGGCGTGTGCCTGCAAAGCAGCGGGGAGCGTGGGTCACTCAGGCTGAGTGACGGAAGTGGAGGGGGCGTGCCTGTTTTTGGGTAGGTGCGGTGCGGCAATTGGAGGAGCCGGGAGAGAGGGCGGAGCCTGTGTTTGGGTCAGCCAATGGCTTGAGGTCTGGCGGAAGAGGGGGACGGGGCGTGGCAGGGCTTACTCGCGGGCTGCGTGGGGCTCACTGAGCCCGGGAATGTGGGTTTAGGGGGGTGGAAACGCGCAGTCCTGGGGCGGGGGCGGTCGGGTGCAGGAGATGGCGGCGCGATGGAGCAGCGAGAACGTGGTGGTGGAGTTCCGCGACTCCCAGGTGAGCCGGGGGCCAAATGGAGTCCTCTGGGCATGCGCCCTCATCCGTTCCCCTCCCCCACGCTGCCGGGTCTGTCTCCGGGGTGGCGGAGCGACCCTCCAGCCCGGGCTGGGGAAGAGGGGTAAGGGGGTGACCCGGAGCTGTCAGACCCGAGAGGGCGAGGGGAGCCTTGATGACCGTTGGAGGCGGTTGGGGCGGGCACGGACGGGATTTGGGGGTTCCCCGCGGGGGTCCGGGGAGTAGGGTCTGCCTTCGGACACCGAAGCGCAGAGACTGCGCGCGAGTTAGTGTTGAGGAGAGGCTTCCCGACACCTGGGTGGTGAGCGAGAGGGTTTGCTCTGCGAGGCTGGGTGCTCGAGGCTTAGTGACTTTGGATAAGTCGCAGAACTTCTCTGAGCCTCAGCTGCGTGGAGGTAATAACCTTCCCTCACAGGACTTTGGAGTGGATTCGATTAAAAGAAACACAGAACTAACTATAAAGTACCTGTTTCGGCAGCTAAGCTTTTAGGTGGTTGCTGATGCTAGAATAGTGGAAAATACCATATAGGGAATAGGAGTGTGCGCTGCACGTATTGCCCAGGTTCGAATCCCTGGTTCGAAATCCGGGTTCAGCCCTAGCCTGCCATCTCTTCTGAGCGCATCAGCTTTCTCACCTGTGTGAAGGTGAGAGTCGTGCCTGCCTCATAGGGCTGGCGTGAGAATTTTATGATATATTGAGGATATGTGGTACAGTGACAGACACGTGGTTAGCCTCAAGTTACTTTAGCGTTTACTAGGGATTTTTTTTTTTAACCATTTTTGTATTTCGTGCCTTCCTAATGCTAGCCCTTATGCTAAGTGATTTATCTATATTTACCTTTTCTAATTCATGAAAGAACCAAGATAAGTCGGTGTTATCCCTTTTTTCCAAACAGGGGAGATGATCCCTGTTTGGCTGATCTCAAGTGACTTGGCCAAGGTCTCCCATTATGTGGCCGAATTGGGATTTGAATGCAGGCATCTGGCCCCAGGGCTCTTGTTGGGTTCTTTGCAGTACTTTGCTTCATATTGTAGCAATCTGTCATACAGTAATTCCATAATAAATACCCCATTTCCCCTTCCCCATCACCTAGGACAGTGTCTTGGGTGATTCTCTCCATTCATTCAACAAATATTTATTGACTACCTTCTGTGTGCCAGGCTTCCATCCATGGATTTATGCAACAGGAATTTACTGAGCCCTTGCTGGAAGAACACTGCACACTGTATCAGTACTCAGGTGATTTGTACTGAAGGCAAATCTGGATTACAGCAAGGGGTGATGTGGTTTCTTCTTTCTAAAACTCCATCCCTTTTTTTGCCATAAAGATTAATGAGTGGAGGAGCCACCCACCGATTTGCTCTGTGGTTCCCTCTGATACATAGCCCCCCTGGAGAATTTGAGCAGCAACATTCGGATTAAAGAATTCTAAGGCACTTTGCACTGTCAGCACGGTGTCTCTGGGAGGCCTGCTGTCCCATGGGAGGCGCCAGACTCCTAGGGAAAAAGCGCCACATTCCTGTTACCCTTCGTGTTAATTGCTTTCACTGGGGACTGGGAACAGAGTCATGTATAGTTACCTCTGAGCCTATTAATTTGGAAGCTACTAATCTGCAAATGCTTTAATTCTCAGAGAAACCCAGGTAGTCTCTGTATAGAGCTGTAATTGAAGACACACTGCAGAGAGGGTGCTGACACATATATTAGGATGTATGAAGCAATATCAAATAATTAAACCTGAACAGCAGTGGTCATAGGAAGAGAACAAAGTAAATTGGGTAATTTAACTGCCTTGTGGGGGTTTCTATTTTTCTTTCTGATTTTTCTATTCAGTTGGAAGGATAAGACTTAGTTTGAATTAGCATGGTTTTGTGGTTGTTTCTGGTGGTAACTGGAAGGGATCTAGACCCCCTTTATTAACTTTATTCAAGTAGAAAGAAAAAATCAAAACTCTTCATATTGCCTTTCTGAAAAGGGAGGACAGAACAGTAAACTTTTCAAAACCCCCTGCCTCTTCTAAAAATCATTTTTTAAAAAATCAAAGCATTTTGGTTTTTCAGAGAAAAAGCCCAGCCTGAAAGGTGAAATTTTTTTCTACAGTTTCTACAAGCGTCATTCACTTTTATAAAACCATGCCTTGAGATGTTACTGTCACTGATTAATAGCAAAGAACCTGTGGTGCTTGGCAACTACTCTGAAGTGATCCCTGAAATCGATGAGTGTTAAGAAAACTTAGAGATAACTTTCTTTTCTTTTCTTTTTTTTTTTAAAGATTTTATCCATTTATTTAACAGAGACACAGCTAGAGAGGGAACACAAGCAGGGAGAGTGGAAGAGGGAGAAGCAGGCTCCCCGTGGAGCAGGGAGCCTGATGCTGGGCTTGATTCCAGGACCCCAGGACCACGACCGGAGCCAAAGGCAGACGCTTAACGACTGAGCCACCCAGGCGCCCCTAGAGATAACTTTCTAGAGCAATACTCTCCAATAGAATTTCCTGTGATGATGGAACTGTGGCCATTGGACGCTTGAAATGGGGCTAGTGCAACTGAGAAATTGCATTTTTAACTTAATTAAAATTGAATTAGTTGCCATTTAAATAGCCACTTTATCAAGTGGCTGTGCTATTAGAAAGTGCATTGGAGTTGAAATCGTTTCCCCTGGCAAAGAGGTAAGATGGCAGAATATGCAGTTCACAAGTCTCTAAACCAACGGGAAGAGCAGAAACAGTTCAGAAAGTGATTGTGATGAAGACAGGAATTTGAACTCATAGCAGCAGTTTGCTTAATGTCTCTGCTTTGGCATCCGTGGGATGTCTCAAACTCAGTATTCCAAAGTAGCTGGCCCTACTTGGGGACCACTCTCCCTGCACCCTAGCTTTATGCTGCCTTCCAATTCATCCTCCCCAGAGCCAGAGCAGTTTTTTTTTTTTAAACCAGGTTTATTGAAGTATAATTAATGTACAATAAAATTCCCCCTTTTACGTGGACAATTTTTTGAGTTTTGCCAATGTATATAGTCCTGTAACCAGCACCACAGTTAACGTATAGCACTTCCTTTGGCAGCTGCTGAGGTGATTTCTGTAAGACAAGGAATGTACGGTATAGAACCCTTTGGGCCTGGCCTGTCACACTTAACCCAGTGCCTTTGAGATTCACCCATGTTGATGAGCATCAGTTAGTCTGGTCTTTTTTATTGCCCACCAATAGTATTCCAGTGTATGGAGAGACCACAGCCTGTATCCAATCACCTGTTTGTGGATATTCAGGTTGCTACCACTTTTTGGCGATTATGATTAAAGCTGTGATAAAATATCAAGTTGATTTTTTTAAAACCTAACTTTAAGACCTAGGGGTGTCTGGGTGGCTCAGTCAGTTAAGCATCTGACTTCAGTTCGGGTCATGATCCCAGGGTCCTGGGATCTTAAAATCTTTTTTAAAAAAATGATGAAAACCTTAGTGGAGTCTGTAACACTGAAGGGGATAAGAACTATACATAAGCACTGTGCTCAGGTTAACAATTCTGAAACCACTGTACGTGTCTTTTGGAATGAACAAGTAAGTAAATGGATGGAGGATGGCAGGGGGACCCAGTTTCTCACAGTAAGAATGGGAGGTTACCAATAAGCAAAGGGTGGAGCCAGTGTCACTTGTGATAATGGATTAGAGTAGAAGATGTTAAGTATGAACTCATATTCAGCTTAATATAGATAGAGATGATTACATATGGAAATATTTACAGATATATGTATACACATGGATTAGTATACACATGGATTAGTACACACATACATTGCCTGTTTTGTCAGATGAGAGTACCTAGAGGCAATAACACCCCAAGAGCAGTGAGCACATCTAACACCAGATCTTGGTTTCTAATGTCATTCTCCGATAAAAGAAACCAGGGATCCTTAGAGAAATGGCTATTTTGGGGACTACAGCAGGAAATATACATGATAAGAGTTAAGCATCTTGTAGTGCCAGAAAATAAAGGAGTACTGTATATTTAAAAGATATATAGGGCGTCTGGGTTGCTCAGTCGGTTAAGCGGCTGCCTGCTGCTCAGGTCATGATCTCAGGGTCCTGGGATTGAGCCCCACATAGGACTCTCTGCTCAACAGGGAGTCTGCTTCTCCTTCTCCTCCCTGCTTGTGCTCTCTCTTGTTATCTCGCTCTCTCTCTCAAATAAATAAAATCTTTTTTAAAATAATACAAAATAATTAAAAAATAAAAGATAAACAAACAAATGAAAACAGTGATGGGAGTATGTCACAAGAACACATGAACCCCCTGAAGAGCTCCCAATGGTGAAGGCTGGGACAATTTGAGAAACAAAGTAAAAATAATAAAGTACTACTGGATTATAATCCGAAGTATAAAATAAATAAGAATTCATACTGATAGAAGCAACTAATTGAAGAAAAAGAAAGAAGTGAAGGAAGGGAGGAAGGAAGCAGTCCCTACTCTTTTAAGTCTGGGCTGCATATACTGACTATTTTCCAAAGACTACAGTTTAGACAGAAGGCAAAAAGAGTGAAGTTTACAGTGGAGAAACCTGACGAGCACTACCTCAGCCAGGTCAACATCAACAGTGATATGTCATGTTCACAGTAAGCAGCCTTGATATGATGGGATGAGAATGACACCTTATCTCTGGGGTCTTCCTCCCCAAAACCCATAATCCCAGTATATTCATGAGAAAGACATCAGACAAATCCCAACTGAGGGACATTCTACAAAATACCTGACTAGTACTCCTCAAGGTTGTCAAAGTCATCAAAGACAGTCTGAGAAACTGTCACAGCCAAGGAGCCTGAGGAGACGTGATGACTACATGTAATGTGGTATCTTGAATGGAATCCCAGAACAGAACAAGGACATGAGGTAAAAACAAAGGAAATCTGAGTAAAGTATGGATTTGGCTTAATAATATCAATTTTGTTTCGTTAATTGTAGAAAATGTACCATACTAGTGTAAGATGTTT